CCCTGAAGCAATGTCGGGGGTCGCAGGGGAGCAGTACTGTTGCCTGGGGGTAGAAAAGAGCTGTTCCTTGCCTCCTGGCTGCTGTGCCTGTCTCCACTGCCTGAGCCAGTGGGCTGAGCACACAGGTATAAGTTTTTGTCCCAGAGCAGCCAGATATGGATCCCTGCTTTCCACAAGCAGCCAGAATCCCAGTCTCCCCAGGAACTCTGCCTGTATTAACTAACTTTCCAACCCAGTAGTCATGCGAGTCTCATGAAAGCACCATGAAATGTAGGTTTGTGCTCCCAGCACAGATCTCCGGAGCTAGGCATTCAGCAGTCCCAAGCCTTCCACTCCCTCCCTGCTCTGTTTGTCTTCCTCCTGCCGGTGAGCTGGGGTTGGGGAGGGGCTCGGGTCCCGCGGAGCCACAGCTCTGGTACATTACCCCATTGGCTGAGGTCTGCTCTTTTTCTCCAGGTGTGTGCAGTCTGATGCCATCCTCTTTCTTGTTGCTCTCTCAGTATTAGTTGCACCAATTAAATTTTCTAATTGTATCGAGTTTTAGGAAGAAGCCTCTGTCTCTCCTCTCACGCTGCCATCTTTCCCTGTGTTCATTTTTGCTTTTGTTTCTCTTCCTCGAGGAGATGCAAGAAGTTGCTCCTGTTTTATATTCAGGAGATTTTTGCCTATGTTGTCTTCTCAGAGTTTTATGGTTTCATGACTTACATTCAGGTCTTTGATCCATTTCAAGTTTACTTTTGTATATGGGGTTAAACAATAATCCAGTTTGATTCTCTTGCATATAGCTGTCCAGTTTTGCCCACCAGGTGTTGAAGAGGCTGTCGTTTCCCCATTGTATGTCCATAACTCCTTTGTCATATATTAATTGACCATATATGTTTGGGTTTATATCTGGGCTCTCTAATCTGTTCCATTGGTCTATGAGCCTATTCTTGTGCCAATACCAAATTGTCTTGATTGCTGTGGCTTTGTAGTAGCACTTGAAGTTGGGAAGCGTAATCCCTCCAGCTTTATTCTTCCTTCTCAGGATTGCTTTGGCTATTCGGGTCTTTTGTATTGGATGACTCTTTAGATCCTTCTTCATAGTTATTTAACCCCACCTTTTGCAGTGCAGTTACAAGTATCTGAAATGTAAATCAGAATGTCACTCATTTAAATCCTGTCCCATCCCCTCCTCACCCCAGAAAAAATAATATACTCAAGCTTCTCTTAGCAGCCAAAATCTTTCTTCATCTGAAGTCTTATCTGAAAATATAGTAAGTAAACATAAAAGTAGAGCTTCTCTGGTGTCTCTTAGGCTAGAAGGTACTCTGGACTCAACCTCTTTTACCTTTGACCCCTTTTCTCTAGAGTTCTTCTGAACACCACTGATGGATCAAGTCCAGCCCTCTTACAAATAAGGACTTTGATCTCTTACTCATATCTAGAACTGTACTGACATCTCATCCCTCTACCTTTTCTGTTTTAAAGTATCAGATCTTTATTTCCCACATACCCCATGTTGTACCATGCCTCTTTTGCTGTTGTATATGCTCCTTTACCTCTGTTAAATGCCCTTTTAAAAATACTGTGTGAACTGTTTTTCATTATTCAAAATGCTGCTCAGATTTCACATTATTCACTCTTTCCTCCTCTTTACTCTTTTCCCCATGAGAAATTTGAACACTTCCTCAGTTCTGTTTTTGTACCATGGCATTTATACTTCTGCTCCATGTATTATAATGTGTGTGTTATTACTGTGTTCCTTGTTAGACTCTAAGTACTTTGAGGATAGGTAGTTTCTATATGTCTAACTCATCAGCTCTTAATATAGTTCTTGGAATATTGGTATTAATTAAATTGAATTTACATCTGTCATGCATGGTTGTCACTTTTGAAGAGCTTAATTTGGTTCATTTGACATATAATTGGTAAAATGATTTCTTCCATATAATTCTGTTTTTAAGATTTCAAAGATGTGAATTTCATTTTAGATATTAAATCTAATAGAATAACTTGGATATGTTTTAAAAATTATTTTCATGCTTTTAAGGTTTTACCTAATAGAAAAATTGTATAATTTTGTCTTAATAACATAGGCTTATTTGTACATTCTAAACTTGAATATTTCTAGTTCATCCTAACCAATGATTACATATTCCTTAAACAGATCTATGATAAAGAATGCTTAAAATATTAGCCTTTTTTTTTAAGTGTAAATTAGTGTGAAATGTTAGTTGACTACATTTTATTGTCTGCAGAAATCTTTAGGAATGTCATAATGAGCTATGACAAGGCTTTTATCAGGAAAGAATTGAGTTAAGGAACTTAAAAGTGTATGATCAGAAGGGGAAAGACAGCAGATTGCAGGGCAGTTAGGATTTACAATCTTTTACTTAAAATCAAATCCAATGGCAATTAAACTTTGCATTCCATATGAATTAGAGGAAGCAATGAAGAAATATAATTCAAGACATGAAGATGATCATTTAATTATGTTATCCAATTTTATTTTTAGATTTATAATTAGAGAAAGTCTAGTAAAACACTTTTGAGTCCAGATTATAATGTCATATAAAGTATGTAAAATACCATGGGAGAGGGAAGAATTGAAATGAAAAACTGGGCATTGCTTTACATATTTGATAAAACTTTAAGCCCCTGAATGCAAAGACCTCAGAATGAACCTTGAGTGATTTTATAAACCTGTGAACTACTCATGTTATTTCTATATCTTGCTTTTTTTAGTTTCAGTCCAAATCATGTTCTTTGAGCTATAGCAAAAGGGTTCCAGGGATAAGCAGCAGCATTAAGTAGGATGTTGAGTAAGAAATTGGACATTGACTCTATTAGTGTGCCTTTCTCCAAAATTTCCTTCCAGGTTGTCATTGGTGACCAACTCATATTCAAGCTCAATCTGTAAAAGTAGGTAAACACTGTATAGCTTTGTTATCAGAGCATCTTATTTTAGGCAAATGAATTCTTTATCTCACTCCTGTTGGCCTTTTTACTTGTATTAAATAGGTTTTGGCCCTTGTTTACCCCTTCCTGGTGTGGGGAAAGTAAATAAATGCTAGAGACAGTTAAAGGAGTATTTGTTTAAGCTTAAAATCAGGATGAAAATAGTAACAAATGTTTTGAAAGTTTTTTTGGTTTAGAATTTTTCCAGACCTTTGTGCAAAACTATTTTATTAAATATTTAACAATACACTTTTGAAAAATGCCTTTTGTGGTTTAATGTGTCACTTTCATTGATTCATCACATGCTTTGTAATCTGAAAAAGACTGAAGATAGCTGTACTCCAGAGTTCTTATTATGTCACCCTGATTTTTTTTGTTGCTGTTTCTTTTCTGTTTTAGCCACCAGAAAGGCAGATCGTGGTTGGAATATGTTCCATGGCAAAGAAATCCAAATCCAAACCAATGAAGGAAATTCTTGAACGGATCTCCTTATTTAAATACATCACAGTAGTAGTTTTTGAAGAGGACGTTATTTTGAATGAACCAGTGGAAAACTGGCCTTTATGTGATTGTCTTATTTCTTTCCATTCTAAAGGTATTGAGAGATGGGGAGGAAAACCCATTTATGCTGTCTACTTGTAAAACTAATACCTATTAATTGTAGAATATTAAATGAAATACAAAGGCAAAGTTACATTCACCTACACAGATAAGTAATATTAACATTCTGATACATCTTTCCATCTTTTTTCTGCATGTATTTTTTAAGAACAAATTTCACATTTGGTACATACGTAATTTTATATATAATTTTCTCACTGATTATATCAAAAGGTTTTACTCCTTCCATATCATTCTTTGAAAACCTGATTTTTAATTGTGTTTTAATCTATTATCATGTGGATTTTCATTTCAGCCAATATCCTAACAGATAGTTTCCAGTTTTCACTATTAAAAATAAGACTGATGGACTCTTTGAATGAGTATCTTTGCAATTCTGTATTTCTTAGGATAAGTTACTGAATTATTGAATATTTTAGGCTGTTTTGCATTTGCCAAATAGAAAGTGATCTATTATTCCTCATACATATTCATACTTTATTTCTTAAGAACTTACTATTTAAATTTTAGATTTGACTTGTTATAAGGTGAACTGAAATATCAATTAAGCTTAAGTATTTGTTCATAGGGAAGTGTTACTTCATAGTAAAACCCACCAATCAAAATTAGTAAGTGTATATCTGAAAATTTATCACTTAAGAATCTATAAATTAAGGGAATTTGCTCAGTAAGAATTGTAATTTAAAGGATGTGTGCTCAGTTTTAAATGTATTCATATTAATTTGTTCTTGTTACCAAAATATGTAGTTTCTAACTGTGTTAAACTATCAGTTTAGCTAGGTGTTTCAAAAGCATCTCCTTTTTTCTTTCTGCAATAAGAGAATGAGCAGGGTTGAGACTTTTTGTGTTCTGTGACCTATAAAGAAGCCAAGGCCTTGGTCTTCATAGACTGAAATCCTTCAGAGAATCTTAACATTTCCTTATCCTTGAGGGTTAGATGTTCTTCCTTATTGCTATTTGGTTCCTCCTATGAAAGCTGTTTTTTTTTTGCCTGTAAAGACTAAGTTCTACCTAAGATCATATCCCATTTGTTATCTCTTGGTAAGAAAAAGGTTCTCCTTAACAACAACAGGAGCTGGAAACTGATTAAGTAGGAGTTGCCTATTTGCTAAATTCTGGTGGAAGCTTCAAATCATAGACCTTGAGACATATTAATGATGAATTCTGAGAGACTTTTTAAAATTAATTTTATTTTTTATTAAGGAATCATTGATATGCACTCTTATGAAGGTTTCACATGAAAAACACTGTGGTTACTACATTCACCCATTTTAACAAGTCCCCCACATACCCCATTGCAGAAACTGTCTGTCAGCCTAGTAAGATATCACAGTCACTACTTGTCTTTTCTGTGTGGCACTGTCTTCCTCGTGACCCCCCCACACCATGTGTGCCAATCATAATGTTCCCCAATACCCTTCTCAAACCCTCTCCCATCCCTCCCCTTTGGTATTCACTAGTCCCTTGGAGTCTGTGAGTCTGCTGCTGTCTTGTTCCTTCACTTTTTCTTCATTCTTATTCTCCACAAATGAGGGAAATCATTTGGTGCTTGTCTTTTTCTTTGCCTTGCTTATTTCACTGAGCATCATACTCTTTAGCTCCATCCATGTTGTTGCAAATGGTAGGATTTGTTTTCTTATGGCTGAATCATATTCCATTGTGTATATGTAGCACATCTTCTTTATTCATTTATCTACAGATAGATGCTAAGGTTGCCTCCATATTTTGGCTATTGTAAATAGTGCTGCAATAAACATAGAGGTACATATGTCTTTTTGAATCTGGGATCTTGTTTTCTTTGGGAAAATTCCTAGGTGTGGAATTCCCAGGTCAAATAGTATTTCTATTTCTAGTTCTTTGAGGAACCTCCATATTGCTTTCCACAATCGTTGAACTAGCTTACATTCCCACCTGCAGTGTAGGAGGGTTCCCCTGTCTCTGCATCCACACTGGCATTTGTTCCTTGTCTTTTGGATATTGGCCATGCTAACTGGTGTGAGATGATATCTCATTGCAGTTTTAATTTGCATATCCCTGATAATTAGCTATGTGGAGAACATCTTTTCATGTACCTGTTGGCCATCTGAATTTCTTCTTTGGAGAAGTGTCAGTTCATATCCTCCACCCATTTTTTAATAGGGTTATTTGCTTTTTGGGCATTTAGGCATGAGAGTTCTTTATATATTTTGGATGTTAACCTCTTGTCAAATACGTCATGTACAAATATGTTCTCCCATATTTCTTCTATTGGAGGATGCCTTTTTGTTCTAATGATGGTGTCCTTTGCTGTACAGAAGCTTTTTAGTTTGATGTAGTCCCATTTGTTCATTTTTTATTTTGTTTCCCTTGTCCAAGGAGATGTGTTCAGGAAAAAGTTGCTCATGTTTATATTGAGGAGATTTTTGCCTATGTTGTTTTTTAAGGGTTTTATGGTTTTATGACTTACATTCAGGTCTTTGATCCATTTCGAGTTTACTTTTGTGTATGCAGTTAGACAGTAATCCAGTTTCATTCTCTTACATATAGGTGTCCAGTTTTGCTGATACCAGCTGTTGAAGATGCTGTCATTTCCCCATTGTATATTGATAGCTTATTTATCAGATATTAATTGACCATATATGTTTGGGTTTATATCTGGGCTCTCTATTCTGTTCCATTGATCTATGGGTCTGTTCCTGTGGTAGGTCCAAATTGTCTTTGATCTATGGGTCTGTTCTTGTGCAAGTACCAAATTGTCTTGATTATTGTTGCTTTGTAGTGGACTTTGAAGTCAGGGAGTGTAATGAAGTGAAGCTTTATTCTTCCTTCTCAGGATTGCCTTGGCTATTCGGGTTCTTTTGTGGTTCCATATGAATTTTAGAACTATTTGCTCTAGTTCATTGAAGAATGCTGTTGATATTTTGATAGGGATTGCATTGAATCTGTAGATTACTTTAGGCAGGATGCCATTTTGACAATATTAATTCTTCCTATCCACAACATTGACTGTATTTCCATTTATTGGTGTCTTTAATTTCTTTCATGAGTGTCTTATAGTTTTCAGGGTATAGGTCTTTCACCTCCCTGTTTAGGTTTATCCCTAGATATTTTATTCTTTTTGGTGCAATTGTGAATGGAATTGTTATCCTGATTTCTCTTTCTGCTAGTTCATTGTTAGTATATAGGAATGCAGCAGATTTCTGTGTGTTGATTTTGTATCTTGCAACTTTGCTGAATTCAGTTATTAGTTCTGGTATTAGATTGGATTCTTTAGGGATTTTTATGTACACTATAATGTCATCTGGAAACAGTCACAGTTTAACTTCTTCCTTACCAATCTGGGTGCTTTTTATTTCTTTGTGTTGACAGATTGATATGGCTAGAACCTCCAGTACTATGTTGAATAAAAGTGGGGATAGTGGGCATCCTTGTCTTGATCTTAAAGGAAAAGCTTTCAGCTTTTTGCTGTTAAATACAATGTTCGCTGTGGGTTTGTCATATATGACCTTTATTATGTTGAGGTACTGTCACTCCATACCCATTTTCTTGAGCATTTTTATCCTGAATGGGTGTTGAATTTTGTTGAATGCTTTTTCAGCATCTATGCAGATGATCATGTGTTTTTTGTCCTTCTTTTTGTTGATGTGGTGGATGATGTTGATGGATTTTCGAATGTTGTACCATCCTTGCATCCCTGGAATAAATTCTGCTTGATCATGATGGATGATCTTTTTGATGTATTTTTGAATTCAGTTTGCTAATATTTTGTTAAATACTTTTATATCGTGATCATCAGGGATATTGGTCTTTAATTTTCTGTTTTTGTGATGTCTTTGTCTGGTTTTGGTATTAGAGTGCTGCCAGCCTCATAGAATGAGTTTGGAAGTATTCTCTCCTCTTCAACTTTTTGGAAAACTTTAAGGAGGATGGGTATTAGGTCTCCACTAAATGTTTGGTAAAATTCAGTGGTGAAGCCATCTCGTCCAGGAATTTTATTCTTAGGTAGTTTTTAAATTACCAATTCAATTTCATTCCTTATAATTGGTCTGTTCAGATTTTCTGTTTCTTCCTACTATGTGTGTAGGACTCTCTTTTTTTCATGATAAGTCTGGCTAGGGGTTTATCTATTTTGTTAATTTTCTTGAAGAACCAGTTCTTGCTTTCATTAATTCTTTATATTGTTTTATTCTTCTTGATTTTATTTATTTCTTCTCTGATCTTTATTATGTCTCTCCTTCTACTGACTTTGGGCCTTATTTGTTCTTCTTTTTCTAGTTTCATTAATTGTGAGCTTAGACTGTTCATATGGGATTGTTCTTTCCTGAGGTAGGCCTGTATGGCAATATACTTCCCTCTTAGCATGGCCTTCACTGCATCCCATAGATTTTTGCAGTGTTGAATTATTGTTGTCATTCGTCTCCATATACTGCTTGATCTCTTTTTATTTGGTCATTGATCCATTGGTTATTTAGGAGCATGTTGTGAAGCCTCCATGTGTTTGTGGGCTTTTTCATTTTCTTTGCATATTTCTAGTTTCATACCTTTGTAGGTCTGAGAACCTGGTTGGTACAATTTCAAGCTTTCCAAATTTGCTGATGCTCTTTTTGTGGCCTAGTATATGATCTATTTTGGAAAGTGTTCCATGTGCACTTTAGAAGAATGCGTATCTTACTGCTTTTGGGTGGAGTGTTCTGTAGATGTCTGTTAGGTTCATCTGTTGTAATGTGTTGTTCTGTGCCTCTGTCTCCTTACTTATTTTCTGTCTGGTTGATCTATCCTTTGGAGTGAGTGGTGTGTTGAAGTCTCCTAAAATGAATGCATTGCATGCTATTTCCCCCTTTAATTCTGTTAGTATTTGTTTCACATATGTAGGTGTTCCTGTGTTGGGTACATATATATTTATAATGATTATATCCTCTTGTTGGACTGACCCCTTTATCATTATGTAATGTCCTTCTTTGTTTCTTGTGACTTTCTTTGTTCTGAAGTCTATTTTGTCTGATACAATTACTGCAATTCTTGCTTTTTTCTCCATATTATTTGCATGAAATACCTTTTTTCATCCCTTCACTTTTAGTCGGTGTATATCTTTGGGTTTGAGGTGAATCTCTTGTAGGTAGCATATAGATGAGTCTTGTTTTTTTATCCATTCAATAACTATATCTTTTGGTTGGTGCATTCAGTCCATTTATATTTTGGGTTATTATCGATAGATGTGTACTTATTGCCACTGTAGGCTTTAGATGCATGTCTACCAAAGGTTCAAGGATAGCTTCTTTACTATCTAACAGTTTAACTTAACTCACTTAGTATGCTATTTCAAACACAGTCTAAAGGTTCTTTTTTTTTTCTCCCTTCCTTTTTTTCTTCCTCCATTCTTTATATATTAGATATCATATTCTTTATTCTTTGTGTATCCCTTGACTGACTTTGGGGGTAGTTGATTTTATTTTGCATTTGCTTAATTAATTGGTCTACTTCCTATATTGTGGTTTTATTTTCTCTGGTGACAGCTATTTAGCTTTAAGAGCACTTCCATCTATAGCAGTCCCTTCAAAATACACTGTAGAGATGGTTTGTAGGAGGTCACATCTCTCAACTTTTGCTTATCTGGAAATTGTTTAATCCCTCCTTCAAATTTAAATTGTAATCTTTCCTGGTTGAGTATTCTTTGTTCAAGGCCCTTCTGTTTCATTGCATTAAATATATCATGCCACTCCCTTGTGGCCTGTAAGGTTTTTGCTAAGAAGTCTGATGATAGTTTGATGGGTTTTCCTTTGTATGTGATGTTTTTTCTCTCTCTGACTGCCATTGAGATCTTTGTCATTTTAATCATTACATGTGTTGGTGTTGTCTTCTTTGGGTCCCTTGTGTTGGGAGATCTTTGTACCTTCATGGCCTGAGAGTCTATCTCCTTCCCCAGATTGGGGAATTTTTCAGCAATTACCTCCTCAAAGATACTTTCTATCCCTTTTTCTCTCTCTTCTTTTTCTGGTACCCCTATAATGCAAATATAGTTCCTTTTGGATTGGCCACACAGTTCTCTCAATATTCTTTCTTTCCTAGAGTTCCTTTTTTCTTTCTGTGCCTCAGCTTCTTTGTATTCCTGTTCTCTAATTTCTGTTTCATTTACCATCCCCTCTACTGCATCTAATCTGGTTTAAAATCCTTCCATTGTATGTTTCATTTCAGATACTATATTTTTCAAAGTTTCTGTCTCTTTCTTGAATTCCTCCCTGAGGTCTTGAATCTTTTTCTGTGGCTCCATGAGCATGTTTATGATTTTTATTTTCAAATCTCAGGAAGATAGGTGATTTCAGTTTCACTTGGCCCTTTTTCTGATATTTGTGGGATTTTAGCTTAAACCAGGTTTCTTTGTAGTTGATATTTGTAGTTGACACCTTCTAGTGCCCAGAAGCTCTACTATCTGGAGCTGTCCAGCCCATGGAGCAATGATGGGGGTCGCATCCCAGTGGCGTTGGTGCCTGCCAGGAGGAAAGAGTTCTTTCCTGCTTCCCGACTGCAGTGCCTGCCTCCACTGCCAGGGCCAGTGGGCTGAGCATGCAGGGAGGAGCCCCTATGCTACAACCTTGTAGGTACCATTGGCAAGGCCGCCCTCTGGCTTGTCTCAAGCCATGGCATGGGCAACAGGTTTACGAACCAGTTCCAGCTGGGAGGAAGGAGCAGCAGGCTGCATATTGCGGTGGGGGCCTCAAACTGCATTGCTGGCCATGGGTATAGAGTGCCTGAAGCTCCTGAAACTTCCCAACCTGCTGGGCTGAATGTGCCAGGACAATTTTGTCTACCTGTCCTTTCTTCTGAGCAGCAAGCTCTGCAATCCTTGCCCCTCTTGCTGTTGGGAAGTCTCAAAGTGCCCGCCTTTTTTTTGTCTCAGAGTGGCCAGTTGTGGGTGCCTGTTCTCCACAAGCAGCTAGAATCTCAGTCTCCAAGTGTTCACCTGTCTTAGCTTTCCAATCCCACTAATGTCCAGAGCACCATGCAATGTAAGTTCATGATCCCAGAGATCTCTAGGGCTGGGCATTCAGCAGTCCCAGGTTTGCACCCCCTACCTGCTCTGTTTGTCTTTCAGCCACCAGTGAGCTGGGATAGGGGAAGGGCTTTGACAGATCGCAGCTTTGGTACTTTACCCTTTTCCATGAGGTCTGCTCTTTTCCCCAGATGTCAGCAGTGTGTCGCAGCGTTCTTTCCTGTTGCTCTTTCAGGATTAGTAGTATTTGCTATATCTTCATGATATATGTGGTTTTGGGAGGAGGTTTCTGTCTTACCTCTCACACCATCATCTTTAAGCCAATCTCTTCTTCTTGAGAGTCTTAGAAAACTCAAAGGGTTTGTAATTTGTGGCCAAGTGATTCTCAGTATAGAATAGTTCTACTTAAATGTTTTAAAGTTAGAGGAATTTAAGAATAAGTCCTTTTTTAAATCCATTATGGATAAAATTTTACTGTTTCAATACTGCTACAAAATATAGTGTATTCACAAATAAACTAGTATATTATAGTTAAGTACTAAAGTTATGCCTTCTTGCTGATTTTTACCTTTTTTCATAGATATGATACTCATTTAAATTAAAGTTTCATTTGTAGATATGATACTCATTCATCAAATGAATGAGTCATTTAAGGAAGAAGATTAGCTAACTATTGAGCACTTACTGTGCCCCGTACTGGGCTAAATGTGTTATATACCCTCTTTTATTTAATTTCTCAAAAACATTACTAGCTAAGTTTGGTATAATGCCCATTTACAGCTGGGAATTAGAGGCTTAGAGATGTGAAATAAATTTACTGAAAGTCACATAGCTAATGAAAGATGGAACCAGCATTTAAACATTGATTTATGCTCTTAACCACTGTGTATCCTGCCTCTCTTAAAACTATGTTTTAATGGATAAAGTTTGAACTTTCAGTGTCAATACAGGGAGTGAAGTGTAATCATTAAAATACTTCAGATATTTTTTAGACCACTTCTTACTATATATGGCTTTTGATTTGTTTTCATTGTAATTTGTAATTTTACCAAAGTCTAGAAATGTTAGGGAGTTAATTTTTGGTATCTTAACATTGACTTAGTAATACTAAGCATGATTCTTCTGCTCATATGTCTTATATTTTGAGCATATCTGCAATATGAGAATTGCTTTTTTGCTGTCTTTAAATATGTGTAAGTTCTTTGATATGTCAGCTAATTTATATATAAGCATCAAAATTTCTTAAGTGAGAAGAGTGGTATATATTTTGTAAAAATTACCAGGTGATTGTGATATATTTGTGTTATTTATATATGGATTTTTATTTGTATATGAAGTAATCTAACCTTCTGCCAGGTGACTGAATAATCAGGCATTGACTAAAATGTCATGCACTATATATGGTTATGTAACCACTGGCTTGCTGTGCCTTATCAATCAAATTAACTAGGAAGAAATGACATTTATTTAATAGTACAAATTAAGTAAAGTTTTATATGTTTTTTTATTCCATGATTATATAGAAAGCAGTTATATGCATAATGAAATTAATCTTTAATGGGAAGTTCCGTAAATTCAAGTTGATAAAGTTAGAGTTGTCAACTTATCTTGAGATTGCACAGAATATGTTAATAATATGTGTTCTTAGGATTTCCACTGGACAAAGCAGTTGCCTATGCAAAACTCAGGAATCCATTTGTAATCAATGACTTGAATATGCAGTATCTCATACAAGATAGGTGAGTGGTGAAGTTGACTAAATTAAGGGAAGGAAAATTTAACATTTATTTAGCATCTACTATACACAGAAATGGCATCAGGTGTTTTCATATACATTAATTCATAGTATCCTCAAAGTAATACTTAGAAATAGGTATTTATGTACAGTTTTAAAGGTGAAGAAACTTGAAAATCAGGGAATCAATTAATTTGCTCAAAGTCACAAGTAGTTCAACAATAGAGAAACGAGGACTTGAACTAGGATTGCCTGATTTCCAGAGCCTACTGAACCATTGAAAATTAGGAAACATTTTTGTCATGTGACTGATGAAATTAGGGCTTTACTTAGGATTTTTTTGATGGTAAGGTGTAACTATTTTGAAAAATATTTCACCTTCTTACCATTCATTTAAGAGGCCAAAAGCCTGGATTTCTAAGAGAAATTACAAAATGCAAATGAATTTATGTATTTTTTTGATGTTTCACTTTGATGGCTACCCTTATAATTTCACCAGCATTCTATTTTGTGTTAGCTTTATGAGATTATATGTATGAAAATGCTTCATATAAGGACCTATTTTTTTTTCTATTTTTGTTTTTTTTCTGTTCTTCTAGATAGTACCATTATTAATATCTAAAATTTTAAAACATTTTCCTAGGTTTACATATTAATATATAGTTACATATTATAAATATATACATGCATATATAAATGCATGTTCATTTTAAGAGTCTTGGGAAATAAAAGCATAAAGAAGGTATTTAACCCTGCCACTACAGCTACTATATTTTTTCATATAGAAAGCAGTGCATACATGTACTCATATTTTACAAAATAGGATCACTTTTATAATACTATGAATATTTTCCCATGTCATTAAATGTTCTTTGGGTATGAGGTTTTTAATGATATGGTAATATTCTGTCATTGTGATAGAGCAATTTTATTTAACCATTCTTTTTGTACACCTACATTCCCTATTTTAAAAATGAGTGTTCTCATATTTTAAAATGCCACAAAACATTGTACATACATTTTTGTTTAATATTTCTGAATACTTCTTTAAAATACATTTTTTCATCATTTTAAATGACATTTTATTTAAAAAATTTTTTAAATAAAAAGATGGTATGCATGTCTTTTTTAGTGGCAGGACCATAATAATATATTTTATGAATAGTACAATAATATACTCATTGTTAAATAGAGCGATAGAACAATAAGGATGTTCCTTTTTCTTCAGGAGAGAAGTATACAGTATCCTTCAAGCTGAAGGTATTTTACTTCCTCGTTATGCAATTTTGAACCGTGACCCAAATAATCCCAAAGGTAAGAGAGATTTTTTAAGCAAGCCATTTTCTGTCACTCAACATACTTTTGAACCATTTTCCTTCTATAATGAAATGTAAGGAATTTAAAGTACTCATAGTATTCTATTCAGGTTTTCTTTAGTGATCTAAATAAGCATCACATTTCAATTAAAGTATAATATTTTGAGTTAGGATAAAAGGCTAACTAATAATTTAGGAATTATATACCCTATTTTTCTTTGGTCTACATTTGACATATCCCTGAAACACAAAGAGAAGAATTTTTAAATTACATGCTTAATAAATTTGTGTTGATTAGTGATAAACAAGTGATTCATCTATGACATTGAATTAAGTATTGAAACTTCATGCTAGGATGCCACAGTTAAATTTCTGATTACTAGGAATTTTGAAATATTACTACTTATTTTGCGTATTAACATTTGAAAGCATCCTTTGCTTCATTTTCCTGGTTATCTAAAGCATAGTATATAACATATACATACCTTAGTGAAGATAAAAAGGCAAGATAAATATTTATCTGTTTTGAGATTTAATATTCTGATAACAGTATTGGGGAATTTTGATGACTTCATTGTATCTTAAAGCAACTTTTATTAAAAACCAGAGATAGCATTTATTATCTTTAACAGGGAATTGTTCTCATGTGTCTAGAGGTAAAAAATTAACTTCATAATTGGATTGTTTGCTTACTGTGCATATAGGTGACTTCTCTAACTTATTTAATTTCATGGTTTGTGGTATCCGTGAATCTGGAAATTGTTTAATCCCTCCTTCAAATTTAAATTGTAATCTTTCCTGGTTGAGTATTCTTTGTTCAAGGCCCTTCTGTTTCATTGCATTAAATATATCATGCCACTCCCTTGTGGCCTGTAAGGTTTATGCTAAGAAGTCTGATGATAGTTTGATGGGTTTTCCTTTGTATGTGATGTTTTTTCTCTCTCTGACTGCCATTGAGATCTTTGTCATTTTAATCATTACATGTGTTGGTGTTGTCTTCTTTGGGTCCCTTGTGTTGGGAGATCTTTGTACCTTCATGGCCTGAGAGTCTATCTCCTTCCCCAGATTGGGGAATTTTTCAGCAATTACCTCCTCAAAGATACTTTCTATCCCTTTTTCTCTCTCTTCTTTTTCTGGTACCCCTATAATGCAAATATAGTTCCTTTTGGATTGGCCACACAGTTCTCTCAATATTCTTTCTTTCCTAGAGTTCCTTTTTTCTTTCTGTGCCTCAGCTTCTTTGTATTCCTGTTCTCTAATTTCTGTTTCATTTACCATCCCCTCTACTGCATCTAATCTGGTTTAAAATCCTTCCATTGTATGTTTCATTTCAGATACTATATTTTTCAAAGTTTCTGTCTCTTTCTTGAATTCCTCCCTGAGGTCTTGAATCTTTTTCTGTGGCTCCATGAGCATGTTTATGATTTTTATTTTCAAATCTCAGGAAGATAGGTGATTTCAGTTTCACTTGGCCCTTTTTCTGATATTTGTGGGATTTTAGCTTAAACCAGGTTTCTTTGTAGTTGATATTTGTAGTTGACACCTTCTAGTGCCCAGAAGCTCTACTATCTGGAGCTGTCCAGCCCATGGAGCAATGATGGGGGTCGCATCCCAGTGGCGTTGGTGCCTGCCAGGAGGAAAGAGTTCTTTCCTGCTTCCCGACTGCAGTGCCTGCCTCCACTGCCAGGGCCAGTGGGCTGAGCATGCAGGGAGGAGCCCCTATGCTACAACCTTGTAGGTACCATTGGCAAGGCCGCCCTCTGGCTTGTCTCAAGCCATGGCATGGGCAACAGGTTTACGAACCAGTTCCAGCTGGGAGGAAGGAGCAGCAGGCTGCATATTGCGGTGGGGGCCTCAAACTGCATTGCTGGCCATGGGTATAGAGTGCCTGAAGCTCCTGAAACTTCCCAACCTGCTGGGCTGAATGTGCCAGGACAATTTTGTCTACCTGTCCTTTCTTCTGAGCAGCAAGCTCTGCAATCCTTGCCCCTCTTGCTGTTGGGAAGTCTCAAAGTGCCCGCCTTTTTTTTGTCTCAGAGTGGCCAGTTGTGGGTGCCTGTTCTCCACAAGCAGCTAGAATCTCAGTCTCCAAGTGTTCACCTGTCTTAGCTTTCCAATCCCACTAATGTCCAGAGCACCATGCAATGTAAGTTCATGATCCCAGAGATCTCTAGGGCTGGGCATTCAGCAGTCCCAGGTTTGCACCCCCTACCTGCTCTGTTTGTCTTTCAGCCACCAGTGAGCTGGGATAGGGGAAGGGCTTTGACAGATCGCAGCTTTGGTACTTTACCCTTTTCCATGAGGTCTGCTCTTTTCCCCAGATGTCAGCAGTGTGTCGCAGCGTTCTTTCCTGTTGCTCTTTCAGGATTAGTAGTATTTGCTATATCTTCATGATATATGTGGTTTTGGGAGGAGGTTTCTGTCTTACCTCTCACACCATCATCTTTAAGCCAATCTCTTCTTCTTGAGAGTCTTAGAAAACTCAAAGGGTTTGTAATTTGTGGCCAAGTGATTCTCAGTATAGAATAGTTCTACTTAAATGTTTTAAAGTTAGAGGAATTTAAGAATAAGTCCTTTTTTAAATCCATTATGGATAAAATTTTACTGTTTCAATACTGCTACAAAATATAGTGTATTCACAAATAAACTAGTATATTATAGTTAAGTACTAAAGTTATGCCTTCTTGCTGATTTTTACCTTTTTTCATAGATATGATACTCATTTAAATTAAAGTTTCATTTGTAGATATGATACTCATTCATCAAATGAATGAGTCATTTAAGGAAGAAGATTAGCTAACTATTGAGCACTTACTGTGCCCCGTACTGGGCTAAATGTGTTATATACCCTCTTTTATTTAATTTCTCAAAAACATTACTAGCTAAGTTTGGTATAATGCCCATTTACAGCTGGGAATTAGAGGCTTAGAGATGTGAAATAAATTTACTGAAAGTCACATAGCTAATGAAAGATGGAACCAGCATTTAAACATTGATTTATGCTCTTAACCACTGTGTATCCTGCCTCTCTTAAAACTATGTTTTAATGGATAAAGTTTGAACTTTCAGTGTCAATACAGGGAGTGAAGTGTAATCATTAAAATACTTCAGATATTTTTTAGACCACTTCTTACTATATATGGCTTTTGATTTGTTTTCATTGTAATTTGTAATTTTACCAAAGTCTAGAAATGTTAGGGAGTTAATTTTTGGTATCTTAACATTGACTTAGTAATACTAAGCATGATTCTTCTGCTCATATGTCTTATATTTTGAGCATATCTGCAATATGAGAATTGCTTTTTTGCTGTCTTTAAATATGTGTAAGTTCTTTGATATGTCAGCTAATTTATATATAAGCATCAAAATTTCTTAAGTGAGAAGAGTGGTATATATTTTGTAAAAATTACCAGGTGATTGTGATATATTTGTGTTATTTATATATGGATTTTTATTTGTATATGAAGTAATCTAACCTTCTGCCAGGTGACTGAATAATCAGGCATTGACTAAAATGTCATGCACTATATATGGTTATGTAACCACTGGCTTGCTGTGCCTTATCAATCAAATTAACTAGGAAGAAATGACATTTATTTAATAGTACAAATTAAGTAAAGTTTTATATGTTTTTTTATTCCATGATTATATAGAAAGCAGTTATATGCATAATGAAATTAATCTTTAATGGGAAGTTCCGTAAATTCAAGTTGATAAAGTTAGAGTTGTCAACTTATCTTGAGATTGCACAGAATATGTTAATAATATGTGTTCTTAGGATTTCCACTGGACAAAGCAGTTGCCTATGCAAAACTCAGGAATCCATTTGTAATCAATGACTTGAATATGCAGTATCTCATACAAGATAGGTGAGTGGTGAAGTTGACTAAATTAAGGGAAGGAAAATTTAACATTTATTTAGCATCTACTATACACAGAAATGGCATCAGGTGTTTTCATATACATTAATTCATAGTATCCTCAAAGTAATACTTAGAAATAGGTATTTATGTACAGTTTTAAAGGTGAAGAAACTTGAAAATCAGGGAATCAATTAATTTGCTCAAAGTCACAAGTAGTTCAACAATAGAGAAACGAGGACTTGAACTAGGATTGCCTGATTTCCAGAGCCTACTGAACCATTGAAAATTAGGAAACATTTTTGTCATGTGACTGATGAAATTAGGGCTTTACTTAGGATTTTTTTGATGGTAAGGTGTAACTATTTTGAAAAATATTTCACCTTCTTACCATTCATTTAAGAGGCCAAAAGCCTGGATTTCTAAGAGAAATTACAAAATGCAAATGAATTTATGTATTTTTTTGATGTTTCACTTTGATGGCTACCCTTATAATTTCACCAGCATTCTATTTTGTGTTAGCTTTATGAGATTATATGTATGAAAATGCTTCATATAAGGACCTATTTTTTTTTCTATTTTTGTTTTTTTTCTGTTCTTCTAGATAGTACCATTATTAATATCTAAAATTTTAAAACATTTTCCTAGGTTTACATATTAATATATAGTTACATATTATAAATATATACATGCATATATAAATGCATGTTCATTTTAAGAGTCTTGGGAAATAAAAGCATAAAGAAGGTATTTAACCCTGCCACTACAGCTACTATATTTTTTCATATAGAAAGCAGTGCATACATGTACTCATATTTTACAAAATAGGATCACTTTTATAATACTATGAATATTTTCCCATGTCATTAAATGTTCTTTGGGTATGAGGTTTTTAATGATATGGTAATATTCTGTCATTGTGATAGAGCAATTTTATTTAACCATTCTTTTTGTACACCTACATTCCCTATTTTAAAAATGAGTGTTCTCATATTTTAAAATGCCACAAAACATTGTACATACATTTTTGTTTAATATTTCTGAATACTTCTTTAAAATACATTTTTTCATCATTTTAAATGACATTTTATTTAAAAAATTTTTTAAATAAAAAGATGGTATGCATGTCTTTTTTAGTGGCAGGACCATAATAATATATTTTATGAATAGTACAATAATATACTCATTGTTAAATAGAGCGATAGAACAATAAGGATGTTCCTTTTTCTTCAGGAGAGAAGTATACAGTATCCTTCAAGCTGAAGGTATTTTACTTCCTCGTTATGCAATTTTGAACCGTGACCCAAATAATCCCAAAGGTAAGAGAGATTTTTTAAGCAAGCCATTTTCTGTCACTCAACATACTTTTGAACCATTTTCCTTCTATAATGAAATGTAAGGAATTTAAAGTACTCATAGTATTCTATTCAGGTTTTCTTTAGTGATCTAAATAAGCATCACATTTCAATTAAAGTATAATATTTTGAGTTAGGATAAAAGGCTAACTAATAATTTAGGAATTATATACCCTATTTTTCTTTGGTCTACATTTGACATATCCCTGAAACACAAAGAGAAGAATTTTTAAATTACATGCTTAATAAATTTGTGTTGATTAGTGATAAACAAGTGATTCATCTATGACATTGAATTAAGTATTGAAACTTCATGCTAGGATGCCACAGTTAAATTTCTGATTACTAGGAATTTTGAAATATTACTACTTATTTTGCGTATTAACATTTGAAAGCATCCTTTGCTTCATTTTCCTGGTTATCTAAAGCATAGTATATAACATATACATACCTTAGTGAAGATAAAAAGGCAAGATAAATATTTATCTGTTTTGAGATTTAATATTCTGATAACAGTATTGGGGAATTTTGATGACTTCATTGTATCTTAAAGCAACTTTTATTAAAAACCAGAGATAGCATTTATTATCTTTAACAGGGAATTGTTCTCATGTGTCTAGAGGTAAAAAATTAACTTCATAATTGGATTGTTTGCTTACTGTGCATATAGGTGACTTCTCTAACTTATTTAATTTCATGGTTTGTGGTATCCGTGGTATAAATGATCCCATACATTTTTGGGGAGATGATAGCATTCTGGACTTACGTCTGTCTTGTTGGCATCATTTCATATCTAACTTTGAACTCTGTGGGATGGTAGAGTAAAATGGCAGGTTCGTAAGATTTTGAAGAACAACTGTAGTTCATAATGCCATAGACCATAATTGTTGGTATGTGTTTTTGCGTAAGTATTTTTAATTAAATTTAATTAATTTAATTTTTAATTAAAATAAAATCAGTTATCCAAGGTTAATTTTCTTCATAATCTCTTCTAGTAAAAAATGTCCTCAATAGTATTATATCCAGATGATATGCTGTATGTAATTTTTCTTATTATTATGTTTGATTTATAGAATGCAATCTGATTGAAGGGGAAGATCATGTAGAAGTAAATGGGGAAATTTTCCAAAAGCCATTTGTAGAAAAGCCAGTCAGTGCAGAAGATCACAACGTTTACATTTATTATCCAACATCTGCTGGTGGTGGAAGTCAAAGACTTTTTCGAAAGGTAAACTTTTGTTATATGCGTGAATACTGTTCTTCATACATATTTGTGTAAATTATACTAAAAGTAATCAAGTAGTTAATAAATTATGATTAAGAATGAATCATTTAGAGATAAATTAATAAAACTGACATTCTTACTAGAAAAACAAGGCATCATTTTAGTTATTTAATGTTTGTTCAAAATTTTTACCTGCAAAATACTAAGAAGATTTTCTTTCTACCTTCCATTTATGTACCTGTCATATGAGAAATTCAGGTAAAGATCAGCAATCTTTTAGAAAAATGGCGCCCCAAATGGATAGTTCATAGAAAAATTAACACCTGTAACTTTCACATACATGAAATATGCTCAAATTTTACCCATAACAAAATAAATGCAAATCAAATCTAAAAGATAATGGAATTGAATTACTTTTGGATTGGCAAAGATCAAAAATATTGAGGCAATTGGAAAACAAGCCCAAGCCCAAATGTTGGCAGGAATGCAAATTGGTATACCCTCTTAGCAACATAATTTAGCAATATAATAAGATTAAAAATGCAGGTACACTTAAGCAGTCATAGAAATGCAAAGTAAGAACACAATGAGATATGATTTTATATTCCATCAGAGTGGCAAATATTAAGAGGGTCTCACAATACCAAGTATAGACAAGGATGCAGAGCGGTAGGAACTTACATACATTGCTGCAGAGACTCTACATTGCCAAAAGAGTTCATGAAAGATTTTGACATTATCTCTGTAGGTTGAGTATGAGCATATTCGATGACCTAGCAATTCCATTTCTAGTATATACCTTAGAAACACTGTTGCATGCATGAGCCCTGGGAACACCTATAAGAATGTTCAGAGAGAGACAGGATTCTACTAAGTAAAGTTTAGGAAAAAACCTAAGTATATGTCAATAAGAGAATAAATGAATTCTTGTGTATTTATACAGTAGAAACTTTTGTAGTAGTAAGAAAGAAACAAACTAGAGCTATGTGCAGCAATCTGGTTGAATCTTCAAAACATTTTTAGTGTTTATTGTTTTATGCTATTTAACTTGCATGTAAGTTACAATTGTAACAAAATAATACAGTATCAACAACATAGTAAATACTGTTAATATTTTTTATTAAAAATTTTTTGGATATAGATTAAAAAAAGAGTTATATTATAAAAATGGGAGGAATAATTAGATTTTAGATCGATATACATCTTTTGTTTTCAGATTGGCAGTAGGAGTAGTGTTTATTCCCCAGAAAGCAATGTACGAAAAACAGGCTCATACATATATGAAGAGTTTATGCCTACAGATGGTACTGATGTAAAGGTAGGATTGATTAAAGTATGTTTTAATTTTGTATTTAGAGTTTACCAATAATCTCAGAAAAAGAAATTACCCCTTAATTAACTATATCTAACCTATATTCCGAATCTCTTTCTTTTTGACTAGAGATACTTAATCTGTATCATATTATGAATGCCTTTTGCATTCTGAAGTCTATGCATCCTTATTTTAGAATAATGTTCTGAAATGTTTAAAATAAAATATACATAATTACAAAGGAGACAAATTTTATTGTAATATAGTTATTAAAATATTTGAAAACCAACTTTGTGATACAGTAACATATATGCATCTTTAAAAGGACATCAAATAATAAAATATAGTGAGTAAGGGTCTAAAAGCCGCCAGGTTCCAAGCACTGATTATCATAAGTGATATTTTGAGGTCTATGGCAGCTCAGAGATAGCATAAAAATGTTTGACTTCTGTTGGTGGCAAATAAGGTCTTAATTGCTTTACCTTCAGCCAGTCTCTAACAAACGTGTTCTTTTGAAGGTATAAACCTGATCATGAATCTCTCCTTCAAAATTCTCTTGTGGATCCTCATTGACATAGGGTAATATTATCAGATTCATAAGGCTGGCATATAAAATATTTAACAGTCTATCCTCTGTCCTACCAACCTTATTTCTTAAAGTACAAAACATACCAAATAACTTATTAAATACATCATTCCGTTTCATCCCTCTGCCCTCTGTTACCTTTGCTTCTAGTGCTTTTTCCTCTCTTGTCTTTGAATTCACACTGTCCCTCACCCCCCTTTATTAATTGTTCTTTCAGAAGTTACTTCCTTCTATTAGAATAAAAAGATGTGTGAAAGAATAGTCTGGAGACTGAACTATTTTTTATCAATTATATATTTTAAGTAAGATACATATTTTAACATTTATGAAAGGTTTATACAGTGGGTCCAGATTATGCCCATGCTGAAGCTCGAAAATCTCCAGCACTTGATGGCAAAGTGGAGCGAGATAGTGAAGGAAAAGAAGTAAGATACCCTGTTATTCTCAATGCACGAGAGAAATTAATTGCTTGGAAAGTCTGCCTTGCATTTAAGGTGAGATGTTACACAGATAATGTAGACCTTTGTAAAAGCAATTCTCATTTTCTTTTTTAAGTCAAAGAGGTGCTATTTGCACTTAGGGTTGGAGAAGTAAGCTGAATTAAATGGTACATCTGAATTGTTTGTGTACTGTTCAAGGGATTCTTAGAAGGCCGTTAATTTAAAAAACATAATAAATGAAGACTTGTTTCTCTATAATCTTTCTGTATTATATAAAAGGGAACTTTGTCAATGTATTCAGAAATTAAAGTACAAAGGAAATCTTAACTGAAACAATAGAGGCAATCGGTGTTTAGGGGTATTGTTTAACATTAAAAACAACTGGTTACAGTATTATATACTCAGAGTTGATAAGTGATTTTTTTTGTTGAATGAAAAAGACCATCATTAGTCCTCAAACCTTGGCAATTGATCCTTTTTGCTTATTATATATGATAAAATATGTGTGTTAAAGGAATGCAAATATATTTCTTTAAATAAAACTTTTTCCTTTTGTAATTCCCTCAGTCTATATTGTTAGGTTTTACTAATGTAAAGTTTTAATATAGATTTAAGTAGAAGTAGTAAAACATGTATCTAATAAAAGATAAACTTTTTTGAAGCCTTGTCTTGAATATGTGGCTTAAAGATTAGTGTGTATTACTGGTTATTAAATAATAACTTCTTAGTGTTGAAGGAATATTAGCCTGTAAATACATTTTGATAGCCTTATGTAAATCATTTTAATTTTGTTCTACCAGCATTCCAAAAGCCATGACTTAAAATCACATTATATTAATATGTGATGATTTGAATATAAAATATAGAAGACCAGGAAATTCCTGGCGCCTGAGCAGGAAACATACTTTTCAACTGTTTTCTTCTCCCAGATAAATTTATTTGAGGTGTTCACAAGTATGTGGTTGTCAGGGTTTAAAAATGCATAGAGATAATTGGACATTTCTTCTAGGATATGTCTTAAAAATAATTTTTCCTTTTGTTTCTTTGGATTAAAGTCATATAATGTCTGCTAGCACAAAATTTAACAAAGCCCCTAAATTTTTTTACTTTTGTTTTTAATTAAATGTGAATTGAAGAACTTCTTGGTATAATATTTTTTGTCCTCTCTAGTCTCTTAAGCATTTGATAAGGAACTTAAATAATCATATGATGTGTATGATATATTTTCAGAGTAATTAAATTACAAATAAATAATTTTCATTTTTTACTGAATTATGGAGTGAACTGATGAACAATAATGTACTTTTAGACATTTATAAAATTTGGTATGTTCCAATACAACTGAAAGACTCTGAATCTTAATTTAAATAGAAATTTAAAGTTTATAATTTATTTTAAATAGCAAACAGTTTGTGGCTTTGATTTATTACGGGCCAATGGACAATCCTATGTCTGTGATGTTAATGGCTTCAGTTTTGTGAAAAATTCCATGAAGTATTATGATGATTGTGCAAAAATACTTGGGTAAGAATTTTTTATTTATAGTTTTTCCTCTTTACTTATAACTAATGCATACTAGTTATTTAGAAACCAAATAATTATAAACATCACATAATCAGGGTTTTTGTAAACACTCTAGAATAAAAAACCAGTGTTCATAAAATGGCATCCCAAAGAGCGTGCCAAATCCTGAATTATACTTTGGGTTAAAGACAGCTTAATTTATGACCAGTACAGATAAAGTCTTAAATATAATTTAGCTTCATAGATTTAGAAATGCTACAACAGTGATTAGTCAAAACAGCTAACTTATTAGATTACTTTGTTCTCAAATTTTATGGTTGTAGTTGAAAAGATTTCATTCTCTTAATGGCACAAAATTAACATTCATGATATAAGTAACCAGAGTAAAATAGAAATACTTGGAATTCAGGATTCTTTTCTGAATGCTGCTTTCTATAAGCATATGTTACTTAGAGATAATCCCATGAAATTGTCAAAGTGAATTCAAAAGTAATTATTGTATATAGAAATTTCATTTTTATGTTCTTTGACCTGTTTTCTTTTAACTTGATTTAGAAAACTTGCAAGACAAGAACTGTTTTTAAACCATTTCGAAGTATATATGACAAAGCTATAAGAATCTTAAACTTTAAAATATATGTTAATCATTAGTTAGCTTTTATAGTATATTTCAAAGATTTGTGAATTTAACCTCAAAGAGAAATTTGGGGGAGCTGAACAAAACAAAAATTGTTTTATAATTAAACTTGTTTCTGTTGTTAACCCCTTTAGTAAAATAGAATAGAAATTTGTTGAAAATGAACAATGGTATTTAGAACAGCTTTACCAGGTGATCAGTAAACTGTTAAGAAATAATCAGAAGAGAATCTATGTTAATAGATAAAAAGCAGTTACAGTGATTTATTTGAATCCAGTGTGATTTATATATTTAAAACTAAAGTTAGTGTGTTCTGATAAACAAGTTTAGAACTGCTGATCTAATTTTTCTTATCAGGATTGATCAGGGTTATTTTTTGTGTGCTGTAATCACATAGTCACTAGATAGTTTGACTTTAACTCCTGTGATTCTCTGTCACTTGTCATTAAGTACCCAGTTTTGTCTTCAAATGAGCTTATTTTTAATATTTTTTTCCTATCTCAAAGCAATACTGTAATGCGAGAGCTTGCCCCACAATTTCATATCCCCTGGTCAATACCCTTAGAAGCTGAAGATATACCAATTGTACCAACGACGTCTGGAACTATGTAAGTCTGAATATTTTCATTGAGAATCTCCTTTAATAGAAATCAGTCCATGCTTTTACAATAAAGATTAAATTTCTGAGTAATTAGGATACTACAGTGTATGTTTTCATACTGATTCACTTAGCAGATGGAGAAATAGATTATATGCTTTTGCAAGGGTCCACCTGGACTAAAAATCTTTTATATTGTTACAAATAAAATTCTGAAAAATGCTTGGATATTGATAGAAGTATTGAATTAAGCCATAAAAATGAAGTGCCAATAAGTGCGTTACTGAAAGGTAAATAGTCAATAGTCATACAACTTTGGCATTCCTTCTCATGTGAAGAAAAAATATACAGCTGTATCTTGTGGTAAATTAATTAGACCAATACTACCAAAGTGTTTTCATAACATTGTCTCAGTGAAAGTCACTGCTTGGAACTTACCTGCTACTCAGGTGAGTTAGTTGACTGAATGCTTCATAGTCACAGTTTAGAGATTTATATTAGCATATTAAATATTCTAAGAAGTCCTGATTGTGTAGGAAGAAACAAAAATATTTAATTTTGTCTTTAAGCCAGTATTTCCAAACTTACTTAACACAAAATTTTTCAGGTAACTTTTTAAAATCCTACAGGGTTGTGTTTGTGGCTTACAGTTTGGCAAACTCTAAATTATACTCTAGCAATTCTTCCTGGATAGTTTTATCTTCCAGTAATTTGAGTATGAAATACTTGTTCTTCTTTCATGGGAAAAATAAATATAGCATCTATCAAGTAAAGCTTAAATTTGATTCAGTGAAATCTCAGTCATAATGGTCTATGCTATAGGGCATGTATTTAGCAAAGTTCTGGGATTACAGAATATTTGCTTTTATTCCAGAGGTTGTGTAGTCATCTCTAGAGAAGCAGATACATAGCTTAACGTTATTCCCACTCCAGCTGCTTAAATTCTTTTTATGATTTGATTTGATAAAATTACCTGGTTGTTGCAAATGCTGTTCTTCATGGGGAAGATCTTGAAATGGTAAAAAATGGCTCTAAGTAAATAATCAGATGTTGTATTAATCTGAATTATACAACACAAATCTTTGTTAGGAAATTGAGAACTTTTTTTTTTTTTTTAGGATGGAACTTAGATGTGTCATAGCTGTTATACGTCACGGGGATCGAACACCAAAACAAAAAATGAAAATGGAAGTCAGGCATCAAAAGTATGTTTTAAGGGAAATAATTTAACACTCAAGATAATTTAAGATTTCAGATAGGTGATCAACTTTTTGATCAAATACATGATATAGATGAACTGTTTGTCTCCATTTCTTGGCAATAATATTTAAACTACTCTGTGAAAAAAATCTATTTAAAAATAATTGTATCAGCATCTGAAAATTATGTGACAGTGTCCATAAATGATCATCCATCTGACCTGGTTTCCATTTATTGTTCTAAAATTATTCTACTTAATCTTGGTTTATTATTCTCCTACATTGCTTTCTGAGAGTCATTAATCTCTCAAGTTAATAGAAGAAATTAGTAAATGAAAGTTTATGTTACTTCTATTCAGTGTTTGATATGGAGACAATAAAATTTGAAAACCTGAATCATTTAATAGTTGTCAAAATAGATATATTTTTAAATATGTGTGTGTGTGCAGTGACCTTGAGGAATATATATTTTGTATTATAATCATGTATACAGTTTCCATCATGAGAAAACTTTAAAAAATATGCTAGTGATTATTAGTTTGATAAAAATACAAAGTTTTATCAAAGTAGAGGTTCAACATGGTATAGTGAAAGAGAACATCAGAATTTGAAATCCTAGGACCACAAGTCCCATATCTTATCATTTATTATTGTTCTAGAACCATATCTATCATTTATTACAATCAGTTTATTTAAATATATGGTAATAATATTATCACAAACAACTAACAGTGCTCTGTCTTTTTTTTATAAGATTTTTTGATCTTTTTGAAAAGTGTGATGGGTATAAATCTGGGAAATTAAAACTCAAAAAGCCAAAACAACTACAGGCAAGTGTATTTAATTTCTTGTTGAGTTTTAAATTGCTAATATCAGAGTTACATAAAAATTCAATTCTTTAAAGGTTATGAGGGGATGGGGTTTAAAGACTGGGGGGATGGAGAGAGGGAGGGATAACTTTTAACTGTTTATCTTCTTAAATTGTTTTGAGTTTTGAACCATGTGAGTTTTATAAAAATAAATAAGTCTATATTTAATGACAAAAAAATTCAATTCTTTATTAATTTATTTTATAGGAAGTGCTAGATATTGCACGACAACTTCTTATGGAGCTGGGGCAAAATAATGATTCTGAAATTGAAGAAAACAAGCCAAAACTTGAACAACTTAAGACTGTACTAGAGATGTGAGTATCTTTTTGAAACCCTTAATTTTAATAACTACTTGGAGTGCTCTTTTTTAATATGTGTGACTTTTCATGTTAATTTCTTTTGTAGTTTGAATTTTTTGCTCTTGATCACTAGCAGAGGAAAAATCAATGGAAGTCTAAAGAGATTTTTATTTTCACCACTGAAAAAGTAGATCGTTGTATTGAAGGTTATTGTTTTAGTTTTAATTTTGATGAGATCAAAACAGGACAACAAATTTGGGTTTTTTTGTGAAATACTACTTAGAATGAAGGTTATATTGCTACTTGACCACAGATTCAATATTGTTTAAATAAAAAGTAATTTTGAACTATGTTTTAGTGAAGTTAAATTGGTACCACCAATATCTCTCTTACAAGCTTTTACATATTTGACCACTTGAAGTCTTACTCCTTTATTGTTTTAAAGACCTATACATTTATGTTTTTTTGTATTTCTATTTAAAATTGTGTATTTTCATTTTTAATGAGGTTAGAATGACTACCTATGGTACAGATTTTCTGCTAGGATATTTTGAACAATTCAACAAGGTAATTACCAATAGAAGGGAGAACTAATGTAAGTCTTAGTTTTTCTCTGGATAGATTTTAGTTTTTCTTTAGGAGGTCATATTGGACACTTACTGAACACATTGAACACTTACTGTTCTGCTTGCCATTCTATTTTTCAGGTATGGCCATTTTTCTGGAATAAATCGAAAGGTCCAGTTAACCTATCTGCCTCATGGTTGTCCTAAAACATCTAGCGAAGAGGAAGGTGTGTTATTATTAATGCCTGTTGTTTTTTAATTATATTTAGGGACTTACTATTCATTGTTGATTACCCTTGGGCCCTCTTCAGTCTAATAAGTTAGAGATTTGCATGCTGAATAAAGGAAAATAAAGGAGAGTGATGTCAACTGTGCTTTCTACCCTTAAATAAAGGATAGATTTTATTCTTTATCTTTTAAGCGAAGGTTAGATAAAATTATTTGCAAACTCCTTAGGACTTCCCTTTTACCTGGGGTTGTTTTAGAAAGCTTATTTATTTGTAAATAAGTATTACTTAATGGGGCTCTTTCTTCCTCTTTTGATAGAAGAGGACAGAGTATATGGAAAAAAAGCTCATGAAGACTTTGAGAAAAATGCACAATCAACATGTTTCTAAAATAGACATTTTCCCTACCCAATAAATCAGAAAATAAGCATTTAAAGAAGATTACTGACCTGAGAACAGTCAGCATAGAAATCTATATATTCATATACCTTTCAAAAGAAATATGGGATTGAAGAAGCCATTTCATGGAGAAATGCAGATGCCCAATGAAATAATGACAACAATAGTGATCACTCTTGCCTTTCACACTGGCAAAGTATTTTCTTATTCTATTCTTTTTTCAAACAGAAATAAAGAATGCTGATGAGAGTACAGTGTGACAAGAACTGTCAGTCTACTGATAGGATCCTAAATTGATATAACTCATTGAAAAGTAATTTGGCTATATATATCAAAAACTTCAAAAAAATATTCATGTTCTGACCTTACTTCTACTTATAAGAGCCTATCTCAACTAAGTAATCATATATTCAGAGAAAGATTGATCTGTTGGGATATTTACAATGGCATTATTTATAATAGCAAAAAATGAAGTCATTATCTTAACTGCAAACACAGGTTTGATGATACTGATCTTTATATATTTATTTTAATACCTGACATATTGCTCTGTTCACCCTTTGTGGTTATTAGCAATACAGATTAATTTCCTGTATCTTAGTGTTTATGGTCAAAAACATATAAAATAAGTCAATTAATTGTCATTATGTAAATTAATATTGGCCTGCAAGACAAAGTACCTATAAATACTAACTAGCCCCAGGGGAAAGGGTCATTTTCTATCCCTTTTATTGAATCATCATTAACTTCTTTAGCACTTACATTGTGTATTTTTAAATCCCCTTTGTTTCTGTAAACCAACACAGATCTTAGGATATGATAAAAGGCAGGTCAAAATTAAGTTTAGAAACTCACTCATTTATAGTACAGTACTTTCCCCTATGTCTGAGAATATACTTTGGTCTGGGACATACAGAGATTCCACAATTCCAAATTTGAAAAGCATTCTCCTGGCTACATTTTATTGAGTAACTATTAGGCTCTGCCATCTTACATCTTCCTAAAAATTATGCAAACCACAGATTCCGAATCATTCAGATGTATACATCTTCTTCACTTAAGTTAACATTACCTTTCATGTGACAGTACTGCAGGAGCATCTTAATCTAAAGATAAGATCTGGATCCTGTCATTAAGGAGCTCTAAATCTAGCATATCTGACACAGCTAAATACATAAAGCAAATACCATTGTTTTTATATCACTATGAGAGCAGGGAAACAGAAGCAACACTTCCTTTCAGAAAACTGGGAAAGAACCTTCTTCCTAAAGTATGGAAGATTTTGAAATTTTAATAAGATTTTAACAGGTGGAACAGGAGTATTCCTAAAAGAAGCAAAGGCCCACAAGATAGCTGTGCTTAAGGAACAAAATAATTGCAGAAGGGCTATATTCTACTGCAGAAGAGAGCACAAAGAAAAATCATGAAACGTTGTTTAAAAAAAACAAATTTGACATTTGTTTTATCCATTTGTATGTATCTTAAGACAACCGAAGAGAAGAACCATCCTTACTTCTGGTTCTGAAATGGGGAGGAGAACTAACACCTGCAGGCAGGGTCCAGGCGGAAGAACTTGGAAGAGCTTTCAGGTGTATGTATCCTGGAGGTCAAGGTAAATCTTGGAGTTTCTTTAATTTGGTTAAATGCATAGATCGTATCTTCAAATCCTCATTTATTTTGAGATGTTGTTAATATGTATAGAAATGCAGTGAGATAAAAATATAGCTTAAGTGATTTGAGGATTTATTTTCAGGAGATTATGCAGGATTTCCTGGTTGTGGTTTACTTAGGTTACATAGTACCTATCGACATGACCTCAAAATTTATGCTTCCGATGAAGGACGAGTCCAGATGACTGCAGCTGCTTTTGCAAAGGTATAGATAAGTTTTTTTTTAGAATTACCAGAGTTTTCATCTAATATTTAATTTTAAAATATTTTTACTAAGGCAATACTTGAGAATTTCAAATTTGAGACTTCCAAGTCAATCCCTGAAATGGTAGTGATAAGCTATATTATTAATAAAGTTTCTTTATTGTAAATACTTAGCTTATGCCATAAGAAATTCAGCATGTAACAAATTATTGATATTTTCTATTTCACATATTAATTTTTAAATCTGTTTTGCTTTTATTTAATATGTTTAGGGGCTATTAGCTCTAGAAGGAGAGCTTACACCCATTCTTGTTCAGATGGTAAAAAGTGCAAATATGAATGGTCTTTTGGATAGTGATAGTGACTCTTTGAGCAGTTGTCAGCAGCGTGTGAAAGCAAGACTTCATGAAATACTTCAGAAGGATAGAGATTTTACTGCTGAAGATTATGAAAAGGTAGGTAGAGAGTAAATATTTTAGTCTTTGCAGGTCAGGTATGGTCTCTTGTTACATATTCCTTTCTTATTTAACCATCACTTAAAAATGTAAAAACCATTCTTAGCTCATGCACTATGCTATAGCTCACATTTGGCCTGCAACCTGTAGTTAGTTGACCCATGTTCTATTTAATGAATGTATTATAATTTGTATATGCTTTCTACTATTATAATTTTGGGCTATTACGATTACTGTTACTATCTGTATCTTTTTATGCCTCCCAGTGCATATGAGCAACATTTCTCTTGTGTATATTCTAGGAGTGGTATTGTTGTGACCCACAGTATGCTTATGTTTCAGTATTAGTAGACAATATCCAACTGGTTTTCAAAGTCATTGAATTTATTTACACTCCCACCAGAAGTCCATGAGAATTGTCATTGTTCTACATATTCTCTATTCTATGTATTCTCAGACTACTCAATTTTGGCCATTATGAAGGGGAATATAGTAGTATCTCATTGTGGTATTAATGTTTATTGACCATTTAGATATTTAGATACCCTGTTTCATGAGACCTTCTCTTCAAGTCTCTTATCCTTTTTTTTCTGCTAATTGTGTTTTTCTTGTTGAGTAGTGGAAATTCTTTATATATTTTGTATATGAGCCCTTTGTTACAGATGTTCTAAATACTACCATTTACTCTGAGCCTAAATGATGATTTTTGAAAAGTAAAAGTTCTTAGTTTTCATCAATTCCAAGTTCAATTTTTTCTTTCTGGCCAATGCATTTTAATGTTTTGTTGATAATACCTTTTTCTAACCAGTGCTAATAAAATATTCTTATATATGATCTTCTATAAACTTTTTTGTTTTGCCTTTTACATTTATTTGCAGTCTTTTGAAATTAACTTTTGTGTGTGCTGTAAGATATCAAAATTGATGTTTTTTCCTAACCATATGCACATCCAGGTATTACAGCACCACATACTGAAAAGACCACCTTTCCCCACTCTAATGTAGTATCACCTTTATCATATGTGTGTGTTCTGTTTCCAGACTATATTCTTTTGTTGACTCTTTTACTGTTGAATCAGGTCTCCCAATTCTAAATGGTTCCTTCTTCAAGTTTTTCTTGGCTTTTCTTGCATTTTCATATAAATTTTAAAATAAGCTGTTCAAAAGTCCTGTTGGGATATTGATTTAGATTGCATTAAATCTGCCATTTGTGAAAATTTGTATTAAAAAAAAATTATGCAATTGTAAATGGTAACTCCAAAAATTTCACTCTGATTGTTGCTGCTATATAGAAAGTTTTTCTAATGCTGACTATATATGTATCAACCTTATTGAATGCATTTATTAATAATTTATCTTTAGATATTTTTTATCCTTTAAAGTATATCACAGGTATTTTTCCCTTCCCACAGTCCTTGTTTTTTATTCTTTTTCTTGTCTTACTTCAGTAGCTAGCACTTTCAAAACAATATTAAATAGAAGTGTCATTTCTTTTGTTGTCCATGTTCTCAATGAGAAAGCTTCTAACACTTGTGCATTAAGTATGATGGCTTCTGTAGATTTTTTATAGCTATTCTTTTGCAAAAAAAGGAAATCCCATTCTGTTCCTATTTTGCTAAGAGTTATTACTATAATTATTATTATTTGCTAAGAGTTATTCTTTTATACACAGTGTTCATTTAATTTTTCCATTAATTTAATCTTTTAATTATGCTTTATTCTTTCTTAATTTCAGAGTTTCCATTTAAGATCATTTTCCTTATGTTTAAATAACAATATAGTAATTCCATTGGTATCAGTCTCCTGGTAATGAATTATTTTTTGTTTGTCTGAAGAGGTTTTTATTTTAACTTTACTCTTACAGGATATTTTAACAGGGTATAAAATTCTAGGATGGTATTTATTTCTTTCATTGCATTGAAGATATTTCACTACCTCCTAGCTTCCAGTGTTTCCCTTCAGAAGTCAGCTATTGATCTATTATTGCACCTTTGAAGGCAGTCTTTATTAATACCTCCTTCTGGCCATTTTTCACATTTTATTTCACTTTTGTTTTTAGCAATTTTCTTTTGTATATCTAGATTGTAGATTGCTTTTTAATTTATCCTGCTAGTAATTTATTAGGATTTCAGGATCTGTAGTTTCAGTTTGGGAAAGCTTTTTGTTTTTTGTTTTTGTTTTTTTTTTTAGTTTGGAAAGTTCTTTTTAAACATACTGCTTCTGTGACTTCTTTCTGGGTCTCCAAATATATATATAT